CTTCCTTCCTTCCTTCCTTCCTTCCTTCCTTCCTTCCTTCCTTCCTTTCTTCCTCTTTCTCTCTCTCTCTTTCTTTTTTGAGACAAGGTCTCTCTGTGTGTCCCTGACTGTCCTGGAACTCACTTCATAGACCAGGCTGGCCTCAAACTCAGAGATTCACCTGCCTCTGCCCCCCGAATGCTGAGATTAAATGTGTACACCATTACACTTGGCTTATACATGAAATATAAAATACAGTGCTTGTATTAATTTGTTTCTTCTTCTTCTTCTCCTCCTCCTCCTCCTCTTCCTCTTCCTCCTCCTCTTCCTCCTCCTCCTCCTCCTTCTCCTTCATTTTAGTTTTTCGAGACAGGGTTTCTCACTGTAACATCCCTAGCTGTCCTGGAACTAGCTCTTGTAGACCAGGGTGGCCTCAAACTCACAGAGATCCGCCTGCCTCTGCCTCCCAAGTGCTTGGTTAAAGGCATGCACCACCACCACCTGGCTTGTATTTTCTTCTTAAGTATAATTATTGAATTATGTAATTTAAGTGACATATATAAATGAAGGTACATTTTATATTGACAGCTGGATTTTGGTCAGAGAACAATTTGCTTCATTTCTTCCTTTTCTCTCCACCCCCTTCTTGCTGTGTGTGCACTCAAGTGTGGGCCTGTCTGTGTAACCCTTGAGACCCTGCCTGTCCTGGTGCAGTCACCCCACCCATCGGAGAAGCAGCAGCTTTCTGGGCTCTGTGCTGCTGGCCAGGGCTTGCCCACCTTGTACCCTGCCCACAGTGTTCTTACCACTCTTTTCTAGTTAGCCCTTCACATCTCTGCTCAGATGCCGACTCCTCTCCAGGCCCTGCCGGACCCTTCTTTTCATAGCACAGACCACTGTCTGATACTGATGGGGGTTTATGAACCTGTGTTTCCTGTTAACATGGGAAGGCCAAGAATCCCCAGTCTATCCGCTCAGCCCTGGGCAGTGGTAAGGGCTGAGTGACTGTTGAATGAATTCATGAATGGGGTATAGACATTAGGTCTCTTGCCTTCATTCATTCTCTTGTACTGAAAATGTGAATATGCAAGGCTCCAGGTGATTTTCTTTGTTGTTTTAGCCTCTCCTTGTTTATCTAGACAAAGCTTTCGCCAGTTTCACAGCAGTAGAGAAGAGGGGAGGCTGGGTCCACACCCTGCTGCAGTCAAAATGCTTAGATAACTTTCAGTCCTTAGCACTGTTTCTCTTTTCCTCACCATTGACATGCACTTGGCAAGTCTGGTTTTTAAAAATGCCATTAAAATCTAGTATGCTTATTTAGAGTGGAATCAAGAACCACCTACCACACCTACGACTTGCTTGAGAGGTAGGGGCAGGAGGGCCAGGCATTCAAGGCCAGTCTCAGTTAGCTCTAGGTTAGCTTGAGCTAAAGGAGACCCTGTCTCTCAAAAAAAAAAAAAAAAAAAAGAGTAAATCTGAGGAAAACAAACTGAACCAGAAAAAGCACATTCCTGCTGCTAAATGACACCTCGACCCCATTCATGGCACATTCTTCTGTGGTACAAATAAGATCCTCTGAATCCTTGGGAACATGACCCGCAGGTTGCTGTGTATTGCTGAGGCTATTGGTGTTAAAGTCTATTTTGATGGCTTTTGATGACTTGTGAGCCATTGGCCTTTTTATTTCCTGTTTGCTTGTTTGTAGCCCAGGCTAGACTTTAACTGACTTTGTAGCTAAGGATGACCCAGAACTCCTGGTCCTCCTGCCTCTGTCTCCCAAGTGCTGGGATTTCAGGTGTATTCCGCCATGCCTTGCTTTCTTGCCACTTTTAGATTTGATTTTCTTTTATTTGTGTGGTCTATTTGTGTATAAGTATGTGCCATGTGTTGGTGCCTGCAGAGGCCAGAAAGGGCATTGGATCTTCTGAAGCTGGAATTCCAAGCGGTTGTAAACTGACTAATTTGGGTGCTGGGAGCAGACCTCAGGTCTTCTGAAAGAGCAGCAAGCACTCTTAACAGCTGAGTCACGCTCCAACCCCCCCATTTTTTTAAAATGTGTTTCTTAATTATATTTAAGGTAGGCAACATAATGTATTTTTGTTGTTGTTGTTGTTGTTGTTGTTGTTTTGAGACCGCCTCACTATGTAGCTAGCTTCAAACTCTTAGAGACCCACCTTCCTCTGCCTCTGGACACTGGGACTAAAGGTGTGTGTTACCACACCCAGCCCTGCAACATTATGCTTTGATGTGTAAGATTAGATAGGTCAGAAAGCAGTTGACAGAGGTTGGCCTGATATTCATAGAAGTCTAGTCCTTTAAAAACAGCCCTTAAAAAACAACAACAAAAAAAAAATAAGGCCATCAGTGGTGGCACACACCTTTAATCACAGTATTCAGGAGGCAGAGGCAGGCAGATCTCTGAGTTTGAGGCCAGCCTGGTCTACAGAACAAGTTCTAGGATAGCCATGGCTACATAGAGAAACCCTGTCTTGAAAAGCAAAACAAAAAAAGCAAAACAAAAATAAATAAATACCAATCTGCTTAAAATAAATAAGTAAATAAATAAAAAGAATCTAGTCTTGTGACTCCAAGACTGATTAGGCAACAGAATTGCCTAGGTTGGAATAAGGCTCTGATGAGGAACATACCACACAAATATTATCCCCCTCCCCCCATCCCTTCAGATGTAGTTGCCCCTTGGTATCTGTGCAGTATTTGTTCTGGTCCTCTGAGGACTCCACAATGCAGATTCTCACGTTCTTGTTTGTATGTCTTATGTGTATCCCTTTGTGTACTTTAGGTCATCTTTCGATTGTTTAGAATCCCAACACGATTAGAATGCTATTTGAATGGTTGTTAGACCACACTGCTTGGGGAATGATGAAGGGAGGAGATGAGTGTGTGTGGAATCTGGGTTTAGGGCTGGATATATGTATATCCCTAGTGATAGTGAGCACTGTGGACCAGACAAAGGAAGGAGGCCGAGAGAGACAGAGATGAGAGGGGCTTCTGAGGAGGCAGTGTTTATCTTGCAACTAGAAATATTAGAGGAAGAGCATTTGGGCAGGAAATGGGGAAGTGTGTTCCCAGGATTAAAAGCAGACCAGTGTGGTTTGACCACAGTGAGTGACTAAGGGAAGAGCGGGGCTTACAGCAGGGAGGCCTTGAAAATACCCACAAGACAAACCTTCATTCTCCCGGAACCTTTGAGTTCTGTGTGGAAAGTGGGTTGTATAGCTGAAGAGGCAACCCTGAGACCTAAACTGTGCCCTCGTGACTAGTGGGGCCAGAACAGAGGTTCTAAAGATGAGAAGAGAAAGGGAGTTCCAGGAAGTCAGCAGGGAACTGCTGTTGGTGAAGGAAAGAATGTCACTGCCGGGCTTCTGCTAGAGTCCCGTGGGGCATATCCATGTGGACTGTGAGCAAACAGCCTGGTGCACACTCAAACATGCCGTAGATACTAGAACTGGTGTGATGGTGGCCATTTATCCACAGAGCTGGTCAGCGGCAACCCTAGACAGGAGCCCGAGCTGAGCCTTTGTGTCTGTCCCTCTATGCTGAGCCGCCGTCCTCTAGGACCTCTGAGTTTTTGTCCATGAGGACTCACATGTAGCATGTTAACGTTGCACCAGGCATAAGCTGCTGTGGTTTTCTGTGTCTCCTCGGATTTCAGATTATTTGAGCTATCCGTAAATGGTGCCATTCCAGACAAAACACAGCGCCTAACTGGTAGGAGGAAGGTGTGACTGGGAGGAAGATGTCCGGTTTCTGAGTAGTCAGAGAAACATCTTTCAGAATAGAGCTGTGTTCCTATTGTCCACACGGCTGGTAGTCTAGAGCAGGCACAGGCACTGCCCAGTGGGAGACAGCATCATGTCCTTATTACCGGAAGTTATAGGTCGCCGTATGCTAGGATGAAAAACAGAGGAAAGCTAAGAATGTCTGTGGAACTCCCCCAGACTGTCAGGGTTCTAGTGATACATCTTAAAGAAGTGTTTGAAGTGCTTCTATCTGTCAGTTTCAACTAAGCTAATTTAAAAAAATTGCTCTTTGTACTCTGCCTTTCTCATGAACCTCTGTGAATTTAATGCATACAATGTGTGGGAGGAAGCTTGTCAGCCTCGGCTCCCGTCTCCTAGAGCCTGAGACGTGGATTTTAGAAGTGCATGATTGCACCTGCAAGGATTTGTCATCTCGTGGAATGGGACCTGGGACTATTTTCAACACACATTTTCTAGGGAAGCATTGCAGGAGGAGGTGAGAGAGCGTGCTGTCCCCGCCCTCCATTGCCCCCTGTTTTGTTGCACCTCAGACGACGCAGGGAGGACTGTTCCTCATTACCAGGGAATGTGAGTCATTCCCAGATTTGTGTGATTGGGATTCCAAAGCGTTGCTGTATCCGATGGCCTTATTAAATCCAAGTGTCAGAGCAGCCTTTCAGACTGTAGGGGAGCACTCAGTTACAGCTGGTGACCTGGTTCTAGTTACCACACAGAGACGCTGGCGAGAGCAATGGCCCCCTCCGAGTGCCCAGAATTCCGTGTGCGTGGCTATTTGCAACGATTCTAGATTTGAGGGTTTGTCTCCTGACTCACGTCATGGGCTCCAGTACATTTCAGCTCCATGTTTCTATCCTCACTGGGACCTGTAGACTTCAAGGGGAAGTGAGTGCCCCAGTGACCCAACAACCTGTTGCCAACAGTGCCTAGCGTTGCAGGGCACCTCTTTGCAGATTCCCTCAGCCCAGCGGGCCGCCCAGGATCTAGCAAACACAATCCTTTTCTAGCTTGTTCCAAACAAAACAAATAAAATATTCATCAGAGAGGGAGGAAACTATAAATGTTGCCAGAAAATTAGTATGCTGTTTTTTCCTTCTTCCAGAGTGTTTCACAGCCAATGGTGCAGATTACAGGGGAACACAGAGCTGGACAGCACTGCAAGGCGGGAAGCCATGTCTGTTCTGGAACGAGACATTCCAGCATCCATACAACACGCTGAAATACCCCAGTGGGGAAGGTGGTTTGGGTGAGCATAACTATTGCAGGTAAGATGGGACATAGTGTTGTAGGGTGATCTCTGGTTCTTCCAGTTCTATCCAGCCCTTTTCATAACAGCAATGCTTTCTTATCTCCTCCTGGCCAACTCAGAGAGCCACATCATTCTTATTAAAATGAATTAATCAGCGCTGGAGAGATGGCTCAATGGTTAAGAACACAGGCCTCTCTTCCAGAGGACCCAGGTTCAGTTTGCAGCACCCACAATACCACTCAGAATAGTCTGTAACTACAGTTCTGGGGGATCTGACACCTTCTTTTGGCCTCTGCAGTTACTGCCAATGGGAAACACACACAAGAAATAAAAACATAAAGATGAATCAGTCTCTTCCTCTGTCTTCCTGTCTGTCTCTTTCTCGGTCTCTGTCTCGTTCTCTTTTCTCTAACTTAGTTGGCTTTCATACTGGCTTTCAGAGCTGTGTCCTGTCTGGTCACTCTCTTGTCTCTTTGGGAGGATTTTCTCAGGTCAGTCTCCCACCAGTGAGCATTTCATGGATACCAAAGCTGCTGAAAATGTTCAGGCTATTTGGGACCCAAACCTCCCTCTACCATGTTCCTAGGCTGTACTTGAACTCCTGGATTCAGGTAGCTCTACTCTTCAGCATGGTAGCTGCGAGGCAGCAGGCATGTGCCACTTTGGGCTCCAGCAGGGAACTCTGATCTCTCCCCCATGATCTTCAGGTGTATATTTATGATTTTCTTGGGAGATGAGCCCCAGCCTTGATCAGGTTCTAAGACTGAGAGAGTTACTAGATGCCCAGTGGTTAAGGTGCTTCCTGTGGAAAAGTGAGATTCAGAGTTGGGATCCTGAGAACCCCAGTAAATGCTGGGCTGTCGTAAAGCCCACCTGCCATTCTAGTGCTCAGAAGGCAGAGGTGAAATTCCAGGAGCCTTCTGGCTACCTAGACGAGCCATATTGACTAGTGTGAGACGTTGTCTCGGTGAAGAATGTAGAGATCAAAGGAGAAAGCCTCCAAAGCCAACCTCACACCACCACATACATATATCCACAGGTTCAAACATGTACATATATGTTCACACATACACACGAACAGACAGAAAGATAAAAATAGAATTACAAGTTTTTAGAAACTAGAGGAAAAAATCCAAGCGCCTTGTTTATACCTTTCAGCTCCTTACACCCGAGATGGTGCTAGCATGACTCATGGTTCAGCAATGTGTTGAATTTAATCATTCTTGGGACAGGTGCACAGGCTGCCTCCTGCACCATTAGGGCAAGAAAGAGTGATTGCAGAGTCCTACTCTGAGTTCTGGTTGTTGTACATGAACATCTCAATCATGGGGCACTGTTGACCCAGCTGAGCCAACACATATATTTCTGCATTGTGTGGGCCACTGTTTACCTCCCATCCTCCGCATGCCCAGGCTAACACCCCGGGCCGTTGTGGTGTCTTGCCATTGCCAGGCTTGTAGTCCATGTCTCTTTACATCACTTCTATCCTAGCTTGCATCCACGGACTACCCCCAGGTTTGCTGTCGCTATGGTTCTTCGTGTGTCACTGTAAGAGCATTACAGGTTTGTTACAAGCCAGGAATGGTTGTTTGTGTACCTGTAATCTCAGCAATTGAGAGGTTGTGGGAAGAAGATCAAGAGTCCAAGGTCATCTTTGGCTACATATTGAGATGGAGGCCAGCTTGGGCTATGTAAGATTCTGGCTCAAAAACCTAAATCAAACAAAGTAAAAGCTTTATTTAGTGTTTGGATAGTCCTGAGCCCTGCCTGGCAACGCCTCCAAGTGCTATGTGTGTCATCTTTCCACTCTGCTGTCATTTGTATTTTTTAAAGATATATTTTGTTATTTTAAATTGTGTCTATATGTGTTTGCATGGGTCTGTACACAAGTGCAGGCGCCACAGAAGGCAAGAAGTGCCAAAACCCCTGTAACTGGAGTTACAGAGGGCTGTGAGCTACCTTAGATGGATTTTGGGAACTGGACTCCAGATCTACCTGGAGAACAGTGCGTGCTTTTAACCTCTGAGCCATCTCTCCAGTCCCTGTCCTTGTGTTTTATGGTTGGTGCTACTTAGGCTCATTAATCAAAGTTCTGCATATTAATATTTTGTGTACATCAAAGCTTACAGTCTGCTAAGGTGGTTTAGTGGGGAAAGGTGCTTGCTGCCATGCTTGATGACCTCAGTTCAATACCCTGAACCCAATGACAGAAAGAGAGGACCAGCTCTCTGTGTGTGTGCCATGGTACATGCTCACTCCCAAGTGTGCACAGACTTACTGCAGATAAGTAAGTGAATGTTTAAAAAAATGCTAGGGAGATAACTTGGTAAAGTGCTTGCTCAAAGATCTGGCTTTGATTCTTCAAAACCCATATTTAAAAAAGCTCTGTACCAGGTAATGGTGGCACACATCTTTGATCCCAGCATTCAGGAGGCAGAGTAGATCTCTGTGAGATCAAGACCAGCCTGTTCTACAAAGCAAGTTCCAGGGCAGCCAGGGCTGTTACACAGAGAAACCCTGTCTTGAAAAACAAACAAACAAACAACAACAACAACAAAAAGTTCTGTGTGTTTGTTCTCTTATAATCTTAACAGTGGGAGGCAGAGACAGGCAGGTCCCTGTGGCTTCTGGCTTGCCACTAGGCAAGTTTCAGGCCAGTGAGAGAAACCCTGTCTCAAAATTTAAAAAAAAAAAAAAAAAAAAGATGAACTGCCCCTAAAGAATGAGCCCCAAGGTTTACCTCTGGTCTTCAAATGTTCACTGATGCCCAAGCATTCACATGAACATGCACACATGAGCGTGCACAGACAGGTGACCATGCGTGCACACACATACCCCATTCCCTTCCTCTAACATATGGCCACTTGTTGTCTCAAGGTGTTTTTGCTTTCCTTGGCAATGCTGGGGAAATGCTCTTCCACTGTGCTGTCCCTGAAGTATCTCCTGGTAGATTGGTTTACCCTGTTACAAAGCATCCCCAAATCTCAGAAGAGCTATTTTAAATTTGACTCTAATGTAAATTTTAAATTTCCAATGAGAGAAAAACAACAGTTTACTAGCTGAGTGCTCATGTCTGCTCACAGACTTGCCGAGTGCGTCTGTAAGCATACTGAGGGCTGTACCTGAGGGCTGTGAGCACCTTCCCATAGTACCTGTCCCCTTAACTCCTTGGACTACAGCCCTCTGGTTTGATGGAATGTACCAGACCTGAATTACCAGTTTATACTTCAAAAGGAGAGAGGCTGAACCTATCATGTTGATAACGCTGCAGAGAAGTAAGGATGGGTCTGCCTGCTCTTTATTAAGCTGTTCGACGCTTTTCAGAACGGCTTGGATGTTGATAATAAACACTTGTTGTCTAGGGGTTTTATCCAATACTACATCAAAGCTGAACTCGGAACAGAGGGAGGAAGATGCTGGTGAAATACTGTTTAAAGAAGGGCTTTGTACAAGCTCTGCCACTTTGATTTCTCAGCTGATATCTGACACCATGTTTGTCTTGTGCGACTTTTCAGATCCATCTCGTCTGAGATGTCTGCCCGCTTTCCAGTGATGGGAACAGGCTTCTCCTGGCTGGGCCTGAAGTATCTGGATTAGAGGGGGAGGCAGGGCCAGGGAAGAGCAGAGTCGCCTCTCACACCTGCCTTTGGGCACAAAAAATAAAAGAACCCTTTGTGCCTGGGAAGCTTATCTCTAGGCCACACAATGGGCTTGTCTGCTCAGGCCCAGAAGCCTGCCACAGAGCTCGCTGGGGTGGGAGTGTTGGAGGGGGGGTCCTCATGTCCATTTCCTGCCTAACTGGAGTGTTTGGTTTCCAGTATTCTGAGTCTAAATAAAGGAGGCTTGAGAAGGGATGAAGAGAGGTGAGCTTGTCTTGCTGTCGCTGCCCCGTCATTTGTTGAACTGCTTCACAAGCATAACCCTTTATTGCGATGACATCTCTGCACCAAAATGACCTTGCAGGTCATTTACTCCAAGCTTCTCTCACTTGGGAATATGGAAATAAGTCTTTAAAAACACGATTGTCATGTTATAAGTCAGTGTCCTGACTGAGAAGCCTCTGTGAGGTCTGTGTGGTGATGGAGGAGACCACTTCTGTCATGTGTGAGGTAGAAAGCCTCGGCTGAGTAGGCTTGCCAGCTGACATTGTGTTATGTGAGTTTATTTGGTTGTTTAGAAACTGTACACTTGGGATATTCATTATTGAAGAAGGTAGAAACTAAAATCAGAAAAGAAAAAAAAACAAACTAAAATTGCCAATAGTCTTAACACCTAGGAACAAACATTCTTTAGACCTGAGATTAAACCTTTCCTTAAATATGCCTTTTCCAACTTCAGAGAATTGTATTGTCTGTGGTTTCATTATTATTTTGTTTATCTCAGCTTCTTGGGTGTTGTGATTACAGTCCTGAGCCACTGTGGCCGACTTATGTTTTTCTTCCTAATGAGAAATGACATTGAAATGCACAGCAGTTATTAGAAGCGACAGGAAGCAATTCTGTAAAGCTAAATGGGCCAGGTGGCTTGAAACACAGCAGTATCATCACTGTGTCCTTATTCCCAACAGAAATCCAGATGGAGACGTGAGCCCCTGGTGCTATGTGGCGGAGCATGAGGACGGCGTCTACTGGAAGTACTGCGATATTCCTGCCTGCCAGAGTAAGGTTGACACACCCTCTGATGGCTTGGGGCCTGAGTATTAAACTCAGAACAGAAGGCACTGCTCAGGTTAACTCCTGTTGCTGGCTTTCAGTAGTGAGTGCAAAGAGAGGTATCATGGGTTACGGGCTTCCACTTCTCTTGTTGAGTTCTCAAGCACTAGGAATGCCCAGTTCCTGGCATACCATTTCCTGGGTGTGTCCCAGGTGGATAAGCTCAATGAAAAGTCCCATTTTTGGTATTATTTGGCCTCAATTTCTCTGAAAAATGATAGTAACTGGTCACATAGGACCCACAGCTCTTCAATTCACAGTATCTATTGTGTTTTTAATGATTCATAACTCAGTCTCTTCAACCTTTTGTGCTTATGTATATGTGTATTTATGTGTGTGTGGATATGTGCATGTGTTCATAGGTATGCAGAATATATGTATGAGCATGTGTTCATAGGTGTGCATATATGTGTATGTACATGTACACATATGTCCTTTATTGTGGAAGCTGAAGGTCAACTTGGGTATTGTTCCTCAGGAGCCACCCAACTTGTTTACTGAGCCTGGATCTCTAACTGGAACCTGGGGCTGATGGGTTAGTCAAGGCTCTCTGGGCAGAGCCATGAGATCCTCTTGTCTCTACCTTTCTAACTCAGGGATTATAAGCCTTTGTCACTGTTAAGTATTTTCTGGTCAACAAACCTCTCCACCGATGCAGATAATCCCAATCAGACCAAATCAGACTGAATTAAAAGATACCCAGCTTTAATGGGTGCCAGCACCCCCCGGGTAGCCCCAGGAAAACACGGAGGTGGCGGGGAGGAAAACCCAAAGGACCACCTGAGAGGGAAAAGGGGAGACCATGTGTTCATTTTCTGGTGGGCAGTTTAAATAGCCTGTGGGAGTGGTCTTGACCCTCCCTGGGGAGGGGTTACCGTTTGGCAGGCTTTCTCGGAGGTGGAGTCTGGACTGAGGGAGCCCCCAGAGAAGGGAGCTTGAAATGGAGCTTTCTGCCCAGCGTTCCAAAGATGAATGTCAGGGGCCTGCGGTGAAGCCCCAACTAAATATTCCAGACTCTTTGTATAAAGGGGTGCAAGGGAGCTGAGGTGATGCTTCCGACCAAACATTTCAGACTCGCTTTGGATAAAGGGACGCCGGCTCACATCTGGCTACTTCCTGCGGACATGGGTGACGTGGGAGAAGGGAGAGCTAAGAGTTGGTGGGCTGGAGAGGCATCCGGTTTACTGCCATCCTGGAGACGTCAGACATCTGCTCCTTGAGGGAGATGAGAATGCAAGTGTCAGAGTTCAGTGGAGAGCTTTTTTTAGCTGTTGTTTGATGAGTCCATTGGCCCTCTCCGCCTTTCCCGAGGATTGTGGGCAGTAGGGGATGTGGAATTTCCAGGAGATGTTGAGAGCTTCTGACACAAGCTCCACGACCCTGGAAGTAAAGGCTGGCCCATTGTCCATCTGTATGGTCCATGGGACACCAAACCGAGGAATGATATAGTCCAGCAGTACCTGAGCCACCACATCTGCCATTTCCCTGGAGGCTGGAAATGCTTCTATCCACCCTGTAAAAGTGCCCACAAGTGTTAGGAGATAACGGAGCTTTTTATGAGTAGGCATATGGGTGAAATCAACCTGCCAGTCTTCACTCGGTTGATGTCCACGAAGCTGATGCAGAGACTGACGTATATGGAGAGCCCCCTGTGGACTGGCGTGGGTACACGTCTGGCAGAAGGAGCCAACCTGTGAAATACGATCTCAGAGATGGGTGGGGTCAAAGAGGGGCTCTAAGAAATGGAACAAAGCTTTGGGGCCTATGTGTAAGGTCTGGAGATGTCTGAAATGATCAACAGTGCCTGGTCTTGAGGAAGGATGAGACAGTTATTTAAGTAGAACCATTCATTCTTGGTTTTTGTGGCCCCCTTTTTTATGAGCTTGGTTGGTAACAGGGATGATAGGAGGGAGTCCAGAACAAAATATGTCCTGTTGAATCAGAGGAGCTGGAGGCCAGCCCCCGGGCCACTGACTCAGCCTTGGCATTGCCTAAGGCCACTGGGTCCTTGGAGGACTGGTGTCCCCAACAGTAAATAATGGCTACTTCTGCAGGGAGCTGGAGGGCCTCCAAGAGGTTGTCTATAAGGGGTCCGTTAACTATGGGAGTACCCTTGGTAGTAAGGAAGCCCCTTTCCTTCCAGAGTGCAGAATGGGTATGGGCTATTAAGAAGGCATATTTAGAGTCAGTATAGATATTAGCCCATTAGCCCTTGGCTATCTGGAGTGCGCTAGTCAAGGCAATTAATTCTGCCTTTTGTGAGGAGACTGCCATTGGCAGTCAGGTTGCTTCAACTATGTTAGTGGAAGTGACCACTGCATACGCTGCCTGGCGGTTTCCTGATTTGTCTATATGGGAACTTCCATCAACAAATAGGTGAGTTGGGGATCTGTAAGTGGCTGGTCTAGAAGACCTGACTGAGGTGAGTTTAAAGCCTCTACAACCTTTGGGCAAGAGTGAGAGGAAGTACCAGAGTGGGAGGGAACAGGAAGGAGAGTTGTGGGGTTTAGGGCAGGACTGGACACCAAAGTAATTTGGGGGTTTTGTAGAAATAGTAAGTGAAAACCCTCGACTCGTGAAGGCCCAAGGAGGCGGGGGAATGACTCAGAAGGTCTGAGAGTCGGTGGGTGGAATATACCGTGATTGCTGGACAGGGTGATCTTGAGAGCCTCTTGAATACATTCAGCTGCTGTTGCCAGATGGTTGCCATCCACAGATGGTGAGGTCCAGCTGTTGGGATAAAAAGGCAACAGCCCGATTCAAAGACCTAGCCTGTTGGGTTAGAACTCCCGTGGCCACTCCTGACCTCTCATCTGCATAAAGATGATAAGGTCTCATGGGGTCTGCAAGAGCAGGGGCTGTTAGAAGGGCATCTTGCAGTAGAGAAGTGGCGGCAGATAATGGCCGATGGCTGAGTGGGTGAGAGCGCCCGTGGGGTTCTCTCTGGCTGCCTGGTACCAACGCTTGGCTGTAATGGCAAAGTCAGGGATCCAGTGGTAGAAGAACCCTGGCAGGCCCCAAAATGAGAGAATCTGAGCCCCTGTTGTTCGGGGCTGTAAACACCACAGGGCCTGAACCCTGTTAGAGGTGAGGGTCTTAGATCCCGGGCTGAGTTGAACACCCACATATACCACCGTGGGAGAGCACAGCTGAGCCTTAGCTGGTGAGACTCGATATCCTAGGGATCTGAGGAAGTTCAGGAGCCCAGAGGTGGCCTGTTGGAACAGAGACAATGAAGGACTGCAGAGAAGGAGATCATCAATGTACTGGAGAAGCGTGCTAGGACCTGGGTCAAAGTTTGAGAGATCTCGAGCCAGAGCTTGGCCAAAGAAATGGGGGCTGTCCCGAAAACCCTGAGGGAGAACAATCCATGTAAGCTGATTGGAGGACCCGGGAGTCAGGGTCCTCCCAGGTGAAGGCAAAGAGAAAGTATGAGTCAGGGTGTAAAGGGACAGTAAAGAAGACATCTTTTAGGTCAAGAATAGTAAAGTAGGAGGTGGTAGGAGGGACGTTAGACAGGAGAGTGTATGGGTTGTTAACCAGTGGTGAACTGGAATGACTGCCTCATTTATGAGGTGGAAGTCTTGAACCTAGTAGTAAGCGCCAGAAAGCTTACGCACACACGCATGCAGGGGAAGGATGGGAGTGTTGCAGGGTGAGTGAGTCGATAGGAATTAAAAATCCTTGAGATAGGAGGCGGGTGATGATGGCTTAAGACCTCGGTGGTGGGTTTCAGGAGTAGGAAAGTGGGGTCTGGAAGGGAAGGACGAAGGGTCTTTAAGGCAAACCAGGACTGACTGGTGGTGAGTAGCTAGTGGACTTGTTCCCCACTGTTTCAGTCACTCTTTTCTATACTCAGTGGTTACAGTCCTGATGTAAAGGCAGAAGGACCCCTAATCTTGTTCTGGGGTGTTTGGGGCTGCTGTTTTATCTGTCTGTTTTTCCTATGAAGCTGTCATGGTGGCACAGACCTATAATCCTAGCATTCTGAACACTGCAACAGGAAGAGATTGAATTCCAGGCCAGTTTATGTGCTAAAATCCTGTCTTGAAACAAAAATTAAAAATAATAGTTTGAGGGCTGGAGAGATGGCTCAGAGGTTAAGAGAACCAACTGCTGTTCTGGAGGTCCTGAGTTCAGTTCCCAGCAACCACATGATGGCTCACACCCATCTATAATGAGATCTGAGATCCGGTGCCCAGAACACTGTATACGTAATAAATAAATTTAAAAAAAAATCTAATAGTTTGAGAGCACTTGTGCTCCTGGAGAGGACTCGAGTTCCATTCCCAGTACCCCCATCAAGAGGCTCACAACTGCAGCTATTCCGGCTTCAAGGGTTCCAGTGCTGGAACTTCATGGCACCTGCGCTCAAAAGTGCACATGCCCACAGGCACAGACACACATGGCTTAAACGTAAAGTAAACCTTGCGTGTGTGGGATGTGTGTTTTGTTTTGCTTTGTAACAGGGTTTTCACTATGTAGTCCTGGATGTCCTGGAACTCACTAGGTAGACAGGCTGGCTTCGAACTCAGAGCTCCTGCCTCTGCTTCTGCCTAGAGCTAACTTTTTCCCCTTATTATAAGCCTGCTCCTTGCCCTGCTTCCTTGTCCTTGGGTCTGTGAGCTTGTGTTTGTACTGTGAGGTGAAGGTCTTCCTGAGGCCTGGGATCTCTCTTTCCTAGAACAGTTGGAATACTGATGGCTGCAGGCAGAGTCAGCCCTGTGGGTCCCCTGCTCCCACTGTCACTGCCCTCCAGCATAGGCTGCTTTAATGCAGGTCTCAAATGGGAAAACGGTAAAGACCAGAAGAATGGACTCTGCTCATTCTGCTTAGCCAAAGCCTTAAAATGATAAAACATGTCATTTGGCAGTGACTGGGTAAAGAAGAGGCAGAGAGGAAAGCCCTTGGTCCTCTTGTTCTACACAAAGATGGCCTTTTCCTCAA